AGTGATCAGAGACGCACTGTTCCACATCCAAGAGTGGAAAACAAACACAACTGTAGATTTAGAAAAAGCATATGACACAGTGGATCATGAGTACATATTCACAGTGCTACGAAAAATGGGGTTCCCAGATAAAGGTATATGGTGGATGAGGTTATTGTACAGAAAAGCAGAGAGTCAAGTCCAAATTAATGGGTATCTAAGCAGGGCCTTTAAAAACCATACAGGATTGAGCAGGATGCCCCCTTGTCACCACTACTACTATTTGTGTGCAGCATGGAACCATTAACTCAAAAAATAAGAAAGGACAAGGTCATAAATGGAGTAAAGCTACCAGGAAGAAGGGAGGTTAAATGACCACTATACATCAATGATATAAATGTAGTAATTAGAGAGAGACTTTCAATGGAAAGGGTGCTAACGCATGCGTCAGAGGATGAGGGAGTGATGGGGACTAAACTAAACAGAGTGAAAAGCACCATAATGGGAGTGGGGAACTGGAGGGACTTGAAGTTGGACCATCAAATAAGAGAAAGAGAAAACAGAGTGCTAGGGATTCCATTTGATGCTGAGGGCGAAAGTAACACAGCATGGGAAAAGGCGACTGCAAGCATACGGCAAATACTTAAGTTATGGTCGGGAAGGACATTGTCCTTTGCTGGAAAAGCAGTGGCATTTAAGGCTGTGCTACTACCAATTATTCCAGGGTGGATTTGAATACTACAAGAAAGAGATTGGAGAGGAAGAGACAGACAAAAAGCGGAGGAAAAAGGATTAGACACACTTATTTCACAAAACCAGAGAGAAGAATTGGGAGGTGCAGAGTTTCAGGTGGTTACTGAGGTAACAGTTTTCCCATGGGGTTCCGTATGACAAAGTTTTCTGTAAAGGTTTTTTTTTTTGCGGGAAGTTAATTTATGTTGTTTAAGGGTTCAATGTATGTAGCTGTATGTTTCTGATATGCAGCTGTTTCTGTGATATGACGTCTCGGTAAAACAAGGATGCTCAATATATGTAGCTTTGTAAGTGTAGGATACTAAGTGTGTTTTTATTTATTTATTTATTTATTTTATGAAAGGTTCCCATCAGTATGTTTGCCCCATGTGTTTTATAGCCATGCTTAGTGTTGGCTGCATTTAAATCAACTTTATAGTTGATTTCCATTACTGAGCACATGCTGTTTTTGGCAGCCATTTAATGATAGACAATGTATTTCACGAGGTATTTACTTGTATGTGAATGTAAGACAAGAGGCTCCTGTCCCTCCCCCCCCCATGTTGATTGGGAGGGGGGGGAACCTCATGTTATATTCGAGTAAATAAGGCAACTATGTAGACAGTTATATTGCTCTTTTTTCAAGAGAACAGTTTTGAATATTAGATAGGTAAGTACAGTTGCCTGTGGGAGAGGATTCCAGTTCCCTCAGAACCCTGAATGCCCTTTGCATTAAAAGTTAGAACTCCAGATTTTTAAAATTTTACCAGCTCCCGAAAGCAAAAGTTTGCCACAAAAACCTCAACAAGTTGGCAAGTCAATCTGGGCATCATATAAACCAGATTGGACTGTTTACCACACCTAAAACAAAGGGCCTCCCTAATGCACTATAATGCCATGTGGCAGGCTGCTGAATAACTCAAAATGATCTCACAGCAGACTGCCTCTGTAACATGCTTCAAGGGAAACATTCCCTTTGACTGCAGTTGGTATCCACATGATTTTGCACACCTCTTGAGAAGGACTCCCCAGTCCCTACTTGTACTGCTGTCCTGTCTGTGGATTTTCCTGGGTAGCCAATGGGAGGCAAATGTGTGGAATCTATCATCTGACAAACCACCAGACAAAGAACAATGATCCAACAACCATCTCCTGCGCCTCCTGTACCTCCTACACACAGCTGTGGATAGTTACATAGTACAGGTTTTCCCAGTCCCAGAAACATTTTTTGAAACAGGCTGTGACCTTCAGTTTCATCTGCTGGAGGCAGAGATCAGATGACCTGGGGAAAGTCAGTGAGGTCTTTATATACAAAGTAAAAAGTTACTAAGGAAAGTGTGCATCATCTCCATTTGCTGACAGATATTCACAAGTCTACATAAACAATTACAAACAGAATGACGATTCTTGTCAGTCACAGCTGAACACCACCAAGATCCCAAACCAACCAAGACATTCAAGCAAAGGGTATTTGTTCCTTAAGGAAGAGCAAAATGGGTACATCTGAATATACTTGCAGATTACAAATCTTACAAATTTTCTTTAGCAGTAATTAGAATTTATATTGGGGTGTCCAACCTTTTCGAATGTGTGGCCGGATCATGAACTTTTTAATCACTCAGTGGACCGGTGAGCCATATTCAAAGACCTCACAGGAAACAGTATCACATTCCCCCCCCCCCCAAAACGAAAGTACAGCATTTACTTTCATTTCCTGTTGCAGCACCTCGGGCCTCAGAAAACAGCTTGGAGGGCCGCACAGCGGTCCGCGGGCTGTATGTTGCACAAGCCTGATTTATATGATGCAGTCACTGGCGGACAAAGCAATGAAGTGCAGACAGAAGTGCAGCTCTCAGCTATAACTCGGAACGATTTCTGCAAAGCATTCTGAATTACAACACTACCCCAAACCAAACAGAAATTCACTGCTGGTTCCAAGGGGGAAGAGAATCTAGCTGCAGTTGGGAGCCTGCAGCAAGGTTCCCATACCAAGAGCCAGGGCTCTCTGCCAGTGCTCGCTGTTTTCAGAATGGGAGGGGGGAAAGGCAGGGGAGGGAGCTTGTTCTTGCGGCTCCCCAGCTGGTGCTGAACAGTGGCGTGGGTGAATTGGAGCCCTCACCTTGGTATGGGAACCCACCTTGCGGGGGCTCCAACACACCCAACCCACCCTTGTAGCGGGGGGGAGGGGGAGCTGAAAAACCCTTAAGCTGAACTCCCTTGGCTCTCTTTCCTTCCTCCCATTTTGAAAACAGCAACAGGCTGGGAGCTCAGCAGAGACAAGTTACAAGACACTACATTTTGACATGTCTTTATCTGATACCTCATGGAACAAGGGGGCAGATTTTCACCAGATAGACCATTTTTTAAGTTGTTTGCAGCCATGCACTTGAGAACGGGAGAAAGTTGCCACTTCTGTCTGCACCCTATGTTGCTGATGGTGGTCACCTTACCTTTCCAAACACATATTGCACCAAATGAAAAATGGAATTTTCTGCCAGAAAGCAACAGCAGTATCTAAGGTGAAAAAATCATGCTTGTTGAAAAGCAACTTCTTCTAGTCCTACACTTGAGTGCTTATTTTTTTGCACAATCCCACTCTTGATGATGCATATTGCCATTGAAATAAGATTTTTTTAACAAAATTTAATTGAAAAATAAGTCTTTTTAAAAATTAAGGAATCTTTCATTAACTTCAATTGTAAAATAAACAATAACTATTAATCCATTTTAATTGGTATTGCTTAAACAAATGATAGAAAGGCAGTGACACAAAAGGTGTCTGAAATGTTAGGACAGCAACAGATTACACTCTTTTAGTCATCTGATTAAATCACATCATGTCAAAGACCACTGAACCAATTCCCCATGCTTTAGATGTAGGTTAAAGATATCCCAGCATTTAGATTGATGTGACTACAAATGATTATATAAACCTTTATATATCAGGCCAATACAAACATTTAATAAGTTATTCTAACGTAAACTCTCACACATTCCTTGTACATTCCATATAGAGCAGCGTGTGTGTGTGTGTGTGTGTGTGTGTGTGTGTGTGTGTGTGTGTGTGTGTGTGTGTGTGTGTGTGTGTAAATATAAAATCAGAAAAAATGATACTGCTTGCATTATCAAAAAGGGCACCAAGTCAGATGAGGCAGATTGTTAAAAAAACAAAGACCCTAAAGCACCCCCACCTAAGGCATTAAGACAGGCAGTTCTTTAAAATGATTTAATGCTGAGAGACCCTTTAAGAGAAGCCTAGCTTTGCAGTCACCGTATCCAGCTTCCCAATATTCAAGTTTGCTTCCAAGCAACAGTACCTTACAGATGAGCTGTGCTGTCATTTTGGCGAATTGTTGTTTCAATATATTATTTTGCAGTTTATTTAGTTTGTAAACTGTTTCAGTTCCATTATTATATAAACATATTAGATTTGCTTGTTCTTGGAAAGCAACTGGGCCTGATATCAGGATGTCAGCAAAGCTGTTGGCCAATTACAAAGGACAAATTCCTAATACTATTTTTCTGTGTTTTTACTTTAGCAAAAAAAAGTACTAAGATGGTTAGGTCTACTTCTTCCATCTCTATGGCAAACCAAAACATCTCTGAAGCATACAAACTGTTCCCATATTTGCTTCATCAGTTAGAAACCTTAAGTTTTCCTGACTGACTAGACTGCCAGCCTTTTTGATCAAATATTTTGGAGAAGTGCTGCTCAAATTTCACTTAAATTACAGCAGACAAGCACATAGCTAAGTAACGGATATTGCTAATTATTATGCTATTGTGTTTAATATTAAATACACCACTCAAAATTAAAATATGCAAAACAGCTGATACAAGCTCTCATATAGTACATTAATAACTAGATCCCCCACAATTGAAAACACCTAGGAATTAATTGTGTTAAGAGTCAACTTTTATCTGCGGTAGTAATATTTCATGCCTTATTTTGTAAATGCAGTTACCTCAACTTGATTGAAGGAAAACAGCAGAAAGAAGCCAGAGATCCTATAAACAGTGTGATTACCAGCACGAAAGCGCAAAGACAGAGAAAGAAAGAATGGTCATCTTACATTAATAGTTTCCAAAAACAATTGTAGTGCATCTTGTGAATTACCATGCTATACTGATCTCCACTATCTAAATTACATATTACTCATTGTATAATATACACAGTATAAAAGCAATCACTTTAAGAAGAAATCCTTTCAGTTAAACAAGGGGTTAGTACCCAATACTACTACTGTTTTGTCTAGAATATTTTCACTGAACAGCAAGTATAAAATTACCTTTACTGCAGCAGTCACTGCAGCAGTAGCTGCCAAATTTAAACCTTGCCTCCCAAAATTCACCATGGTCTCATAACCTCGTTCTTTGGCTTGCACAATGTATTCATCAATCTCCTAAAAACAAAATCACAGAAGCCACAGCCAGATTTATCACACACACAATCCAGGTAAGTCAAAGTTATTAAGATTTGTAAGAAAATGTTGATATTAAGAGTATCAGTCAGAACATTTTAACAGAAGATTTAATTCTGGAAGGTATATAATATTTATAAATTTTCATACCCGCTCTTTGGAAGAAAGAAGAGGATGGAGAAATTTTCTATAGATTAAACTTGCCCCTCTAGTATATGGAGAGAGCAGCCATACAACAAAAGCAATCTTCAGTTCATAATACAACGGAAACCTGCACATGAGAGTGTTAAAAATAAATAAATAAAAGCAGCTGGGAGTTCAAGCACTGGGACAAGAAAGTAGGTGCTAAATTCAGCATAAAGTACAAGGCCTTGCAAAAATAACTAGTAACACATTTTGGCTTGAGTTCCTAAAATGCTCAGTTTTAAAGAAGTATTGGCTATTTGTAGCCAATTCCATAAATTAAAATTTATACACAATCTATCCTTTGGTTTGTATTTGACAGAGCTATCAAAAGCAATACAGATAGAGCTATCAGTGGTTTTCTGCATATACTTCTTTATTTTGTTTTGTTTTTTTTTTATAGGATGCTAGCTTTCTTCTACATGAACTGCAACATTTCACAGAGCAGGTAACATATCATAAATAAATATGATTATAGCCCAAGTTTTAGACTAAGCAAAATCTTACCATGAAACCATTAGGTCTGCTATTGTTTCAGTAACGCTATAAAGAGCAAAGACAATCCAGTACATCATCCATCGAACCTGGAGAAGGAAGAACAAAAAAAATCTCTTAAAATTGTTTTAAAATTTCAACTATGTAAGAACCACTTCCTTAGTCAGCAACAATACTTATTAGCTGTTACATAACTAATACAGCTATGTATTAGCTGCATTTTTGTTGTTTAACTAAAAGCTGCCCAACACAAAGATAAGATCACCATAAGGCAGTAACAAAATACTGTAAGAACATATGATTTGTTTTGCTTCTGCTCTGCATGGAAATCATAGTGGCACCTGCCACATTAAATCAATGGGCTAAGCGGCTGCACCCATTTTACCCATCTACACCAACAGTTCTCCCCTCCAGTGAGACTACAAGCGCAGAGAAACCCTTTTCAGGGAGCCTGTTAAGCTCCTCACAAAAGACTCTAAAGTGGGAATCTGGCTTTCTCCTCTTCAAGCCAACCTCCCAGTCCACTGCCAATGATCACACTTGAAAAACAATCAGTTTCAATACTACCTGCAAAATGGCAATCTTAACTAAATGAGCAAGTCCCAAAAAGACAAAACTAGGGCTCCCCTTAAGGCTCACCTTCTGTCATAGTTTTATATTGGCTTATTCAATGCCTTGCAAATTTCATATTCCACTTAGAACTGCATGCTAAAACTATCAGGACTATTTTTAAGCAGAAGATTGTACTGTACATTTAATCTTCTTTCTTCTGCCTCACAAGTAGAAGTTACACAAAGCAGCTGGGTTTTTTTTTTTCCTTTATACCGTCTCCCACACAAGTAGGAGCAAAGTTAAATTATTTAAAATTTAGCTATATTGTGTAGTAGTTTAAGTTTCAACCATTTACTCCTAAAGGATACATAACCCACTTCTGCACCAAATTCCTACATAAATCAAAAATCTCTCTTGTGCACTTAAAGTTAGACACTAAAACATACTGTACACTATTTTCTATAGGGTTTTCTCTATCCTAACTTTTATGCTTAAATTCTACAGCCATACTTATTTCTTTAGACCAGTGATTCAGGGGTGCTGAGAGATCTTTTTAAGGGTGATGCACAACATTAGCACTGTTAAAATTTGCAGACACTGCCACATGATTAATTAACTCTGCTGTAAGATAGTATGTCTCTGCTACTATTCCACAGCGCTGTTAGTTTACTGTGCCCTAATACTAACCCACATGCAGACAGCAATGCTTTACTGCAGAGCTAATTAGTCAACTCCACAGTAAAGCACACGTGTAGAAGCATCCACTAAATCTAGTGAAAAATGAGTTTTGTTTTTTCACATGGTTAATTTGATATAATTTGCAAGATATTTTGGAGCAAAAGCCTAAATGCATCTGTAAGGGAAAGTCCTTTAAAAATACAACAAACAGCTCGTCTCTAACCTACACCAAACTGTAATGTTAGATGTTATCTCATGCCAGTGCATAATACTAATGCACCAACACTTGCTTTGTTACTATTTGTGATCCAAAGACCTCTTAGCATTTCATGCTGAACAGAAATCCAGTCATGTGATGATATCCTTTGCCCCAGTCTCTCAAAGGCATTAGAGGATATTTTAAGCCTGAGCGAGTAAACCAAAATGAATGTACACAAGAGCTAAAGTTACTTCACTGATGGACCATGACATGTTTAAATTGCTGACCTCCTTGTGAACTTACGTTGCCTACATCCAGACTCAGAAGTCTTAAGATTGTTTAATGACAAAAGTGAGGGGGGAAAAAAAAAATGGATGTTTGACATATTACACTAACAATACATTTGTTTACTAGACTTTTACTGAGTGAATACTGAGGGGGAAAGCACCTCACCTTTCAGGCTAGGAAAAGTTATATGGAAACCCAACAAAAAGTGTGGAAAGGATCAGATAAGCTCTTAGTCAACATTTAAATGTGACCTGGCAAAGGGTTTGTAATTGCATTTTGCTTTTTTGACAAAAAACTGATCTCCAGATACCACTTAAAGGCATACATTTCTTTAAAAAAAACACAACAACAACAAAACCAAAAAAAAACCCTACACACAGACTTCATTCACATAGTCAAAGCAACCACAAAAGCACAAAGTCTCTCTTCTCTATTGCAAATCATCTTTAACAGTCTGGAATTACCATGCAATCAATTAAGCTCAAAGTTAAGAGTCTGTCATGCTGTAAATGCCAAAGCAAGTTTATTTGTAAATGCCAAAGTGCAGTAACTAGGTACCCTACAGTTTGGAAGGAGGGCATAAATAAGCATTTTTACAGCAGCGGATTCTAGTGCTAGGTAGAGCCAGAGTCGGACTCCAGCATTACTCATAAAAAGGCAAGCAGTTCACCTAATTTTTCTCCAAATTATAAGAGATAAAAAGCTACTAACAGGGGGATTTAGAGTTATGTTTACATGTACATGAGTGCACTAAGATTATCAATGACACCAAATGCTAATGTAACACAACAGTGAGGCAGCAAAGCAAAATATTAAAAATTTAGGAACTGTCAAAGTAAAGCTTGTTGCAATCTTAATTTGGTCCTCTTGTGTACATGGATAATGATACTATTACACATACCAGTTCTCCTCACAGGCACAGCAGTGCCTCAATCGCTGCTCACTAACTGAACACCACGCATTTTGAACAGCTCTTCAATAGTTTTGTTTTTAGTCAATGCCTCTAGGCTTCTTTACTTGAGGTGCACCAACCTATCGGTTGCCTATTGGATCGGCACCAATAAAAGGGAAATTTACATTATTGGCTATTTTGGCCACTTGGACATTCTGGCTGGGACTCCCGGATGCCTGGGTTCCCTCTTGCCCACAGGGCCAGGGCCCCCAGATACCTGGGTTCCCTCCTGCGAGTAGGGATGAACCCGGATACACCCCCATCCCCTCACTTACAGGCCCAGCTTGGCTGAAATGGAGCAGCTGCCATGGTGTCTCAGGTGCTGGCGCAGTGTGACATGGACTATATTTTGATTTGGTTATTAATTGCACTGCAGTTGAGTAAAACACATTTGGTTAGATAAACCATTAGTTACTCTCTCAAAAGCATAACTTATGCTCAGAGAACCCTCTCAGATCAAAATAAGCTTTAAAAGACTGCATTAAAGAAGAACACATCTCTTCAGAATAGTTAATTTTGTCATGGTAATAACAGCAATATAAATTGAGACAAAACAGTATGGATTTTTGTCCCCAAATGCAAAACAATGCAACGCTTCTTGCATTCACAGGAATCTTAGATGTATGCGATGCATAATTTTAGTATCACTATTGCTTTATAGGCAAACGGTGTTAGATCAATTCTTCATAAATTCTAAGTTGCAGTAAATTCCAATTATCAAAAGATTTAAATAAAAATATACAGAAATTAATACAACCGATCAATTGTTTATCCCCTTCTAGTGTATACCATGCCATCTCTTAATACAACAGTAATTCAGACATACCTGAGTTCAAAATCACAACTGAAATAAACATTATTTCATCTGAGGAACATTTCTATGCCACACCATTACTCAGAAGAGAGTATGTATAAGGCTGAAAGCTGGCTACAGCATTTTAATAGTGGTATTGTAACTCATATGGTGAAGTAAGATAAATGGGAAAGAAATAACAGAGAAAACAGTTTTCACTGCTAATCTGGCAAATGTTTACACTGATGACCATGTAGCACAGTGGGTGCCAAGACAGGCCACTAATTAGCACCCCCACTCTCCCAGAGTGCCATTATGGCCCTTTTCCCCTGCCTGATCTGCTGCTCTGCTTTCTGCTCTACCTGCCTGTCCCTTTGTCAACCCATCATATGCTGTATGTATACAAGCTGCCCATGCCACATGTTGGTTGATGAAGGAGATTGGGCTACACAGAGACAAGACTACTGTTTCCTGAAGTGTCAGTGCTTCTAAGGAAGAAAGGAAATAGCCTGCCACCTTCCTGCATTTCAAAATGAGCTGTCTGGTCGTGGTAGTGACAGCACTGTCACCGGCAGCCCTGTCCCCCTCCTCCTCCAAGGTGTCCCTAACTAGGAGATAGAACTTGTGTGCCACACAGCGGATGCCAACAAAGTTGGCATCATGGACCACCTTGACCATATTGGCCCCGTTGTCAGCGACCATGAACCCACAGGTGAGCTCACCCTGCCCAACGAGCCATGCCTGCACCATGCAGTTCATGGCCCCCATGATCTCCCTTGCCATGTGGGACTCATCCAGCACCTAGGTTTGGAGGAGAGCCCACCAACGGCCTGACTGATCGCACCAGTGCCCTGTGAGGAAGACATAGGCATGATCACCACCCAGGATACTCCAAACGTTTGAGGTGAAGTGCAAAGCTACCTGCGGCCCTGCCTTCCGCAGCTCCTCCCTCAAGTACTCCCTGCATGCCTCATACAGGGAGGGCATCACAGTCCTGCTAAAGGTGGTGCATGCGGGCACTTCATAAGATGGGGCCAGAAGCGCTATGAGAGTCCAGGATTCAGGCGGCTCAATGAAGGAGAAGGCTGGCCATCCAGAGCAAGCATCTCCCCAGTGCTCTGGGTGACCTCACTCACCCTTGCAACGAGCCCCCCTTTGTCTTCAGCTTTCCCCCACCTCTCCAGAGTGGCCTGCCTCTGCTTTGTGGGGACAGGGGCTTTGGAACAAGAGGGGTACTTCCCATTGGGCATGCTCCTACTGGTGCCAGGCTGAGAAGGAACAAGGGCAAGAGGGTGCTGCCTCCTGAGAGGCAGTAGCAGCATCACTGCGGTGGCAAAATGTTTCACCTCCTGCTAGATACAGAACCTAATAATTATATATACATAAAATTAATTTCACAGACATTAGGGGCTGGAAGAGACCTTGCGAGATGGAGTCCAGCCCCCCTGCCAGAGGCAGGAAGTCTGCAGGAATCAGATGAACCCAGCAAGATAAACATCCAAATGCCTTTTAAATAAGTCCAGAGTAGGTGCTTACACCATCCTCTGGAGGGAGTCCGTTCCAGACCTTGGACACTCGGACTGTAAACAAATTTTTCCTTATATTGAGTCTGAATCAACCTTCTAGA